GGGGCCTGGGCTAGGACTGGATTTGGGGGTTCTGGGAATGCATCAGAAATTCCTACTGGGCAGGCAGGGTAGGGAAGGTGCTGCGGAGTGGTGAGGGGCGTCCCAAGGGGAAGAGCGTCTCACCCACACTGCTCCTGGGCTGGGAGGAGTAGGTCCCACTGGCGCAGGGTAGCCAGAAGCTCTCCCACACACTCACTGGGCCTGGGCTAAGACTGCGTCTGGGGTTCCCGGAATGTGGCAGAAATTCCTACTGGGCACAGGGTGGGGGAGGTGCTGTGAAGTGGTAGGGGGCGTCCCAAGGGGGTGGAAGAGGGTCCCGCACGCTGCGCCTGGGCTGGAACGAGTAGGTCCTGCCAGCTCAGGGTAGCCGGAAGCTCTCCCACACACTCACCGGGCCTAGGTTGGGACTGGGTCTTGATATTAGCTTTCTTTAAACATAGGATTTACAAATATTTCTTCCTACTCTGGGATTATTTTTTAACTTTGATAGTGTCATTTGATGCACAAATATTAATTTTGATGAAGCCCAAATTTTAATTTTATTGTATTTTGGTTAACAAGAAATATTACTAATTTCAAAGCTCTGAATTGAACCACAAAAGACATCTTTTTTTCTCTGTCTCTTAGAGCCAAGATTCTGGGTCTGACAATCGAATAAACACTGTCAGTCTCAAGGAAGCATTAGAAAGGTTTGATCATAGCCCAACTCCTTCTGCTTCTTCCCGAAGTTCAAGAAAATCATCTCACACAGCAGTCTCCGACCCTTCCTGTGAGTACTGCTAAATGATTTGTTAACTCGTATCAAAATTTTTGGTGCAATATTTTTTTTAAATTATTATCAAAATGTAAAATACAATTTTGAAGTCTATCAACCTTTAATGAGTAAGAAGCAGGTTGTTTAACAAACAATTAGGCCTCCCTGCTTCCGGCGCGGCGAATGTAAGCTTCTGAAGAGCGCGCCTTCAAGCCAAAGAAGACAGCTGCCAGACAGGGCTCACCTGAAGTTGACTGGCTCCGGGGACAGTTAGAGGTCGC